TCAAAGCCAAACACCCCTTAACTCACTATTCAATTCCCAAACATTCCCTAAAGCAGCCCACCATCGAGTCCGCAAGCATCCGAAAGCAAAGCGTCCCGTCGAAAAACAACTACCCGCCACTCGAACTAGAATTCCACCCCCGAAACCGGTTCGAAAAACTGGCCGGTGCCGTTGGCAGTTGTAATTCCATCAATTTCATCTGATAATTAAATTGTCCCCCGCCCCGCGCAATATCTCCGAATAAATATCCGGCCGTGTAAATAGGTTAACGAACCGAGGGAGCTGATCGATTCCGCGGTGGAGCCCAGCGACCCTTATCAGTCTCTCCGTGTTGCAGGAGGAGCAGCAGGCCAGTTTCCCCTGCACGCCGGCGAGAAGGACAGAGACGGGGCGCGCGGTAAAACGCGAAAGAGGGAGGGAGAGAGAGGGTTCAGCTTCACCGGGCTGGGGTATATCGATCTCGACACGGTGGTGGCGAAAGATCGTCCTGCAACGAAGCTTTCTGGCGGTCGAGTGGGGCTTCAGGGCCGTACCACGGGCCTCCACGCCACCTGCGGGACGACCTTGACCTACGGGGTTTCTCTCGCGCCGGCGTCGCGTCCTCTTTGGTCCTCTTCCGTCCCTCGGCGTCGTCCTCTTCCCTCCTTCGCGACTTCTTCGACGGGGCACCGCGTGTCCTGCGCCTCTGTCCGCCGATATTATCGCTCCCCCTACCCCTGCCGACGGCCGCCGCGATCTTCGTCACTTTCACCCTAACCCTAACCTGACCCGTTACTCACCTACACCCCCGTTGCGCTCACAATGCGACCCCTTGTCGCCCCTGTGCGCCGTCACGGTTTTTTGCGCTGCTTTTTCACCGATTAATCTTGTCCTTCTGGTTCTGCCATTTTTTGCTCCCCGAGCTTCGGTCGGCGGAGGCATGTGAACGGTGGATTCGGGGGTGGGTGCAGGCATTCTTCGAGGTTTAGCATTTGGGAGATCGATCGCGTCTTTTGGGTTTTTTCGTTTCGACGTTGGGCCTGAGGATTTCGGGTGCTGTAGAGATGAATGTATGCATGGGACGATGGAGGTTTCAATTTTCTCTTTTCATGATGTTATCTTTTAGAGTGGGGACGACTGCACTTGTTGAGAGTTTGAGTGATGTTCCTTTCGATAGAGTGGTTGATTTGGAAGCGATATGGTAATTTATTCTTTGGAATTTTAGAGAAACTTACAGTGTAGTCAGTGCAATTATCGAATAAAAGATATTCGAGACGTTCAGATGCTAAAGTGATTCACTCCATAAAACGAACCGTAAACTGATTTAATCGTTTATATATAATACTTAAGGATTTAGTATTAGCACTAGAACTTGAAGATACTCAGAGAGTAAAGCCAACGACTTTAATCTATAAGAGTCCCCCGGAAATTCGCAGGTTTCGAAAGTTTCTCGAGACGTTTTCAAAGAGTTCCATTAACGCTCTGCGGTTTTCAAACTCGAAGGAGTTCTCCGGCGATAGTTCTGTAATTAGAATAACAGTTTTTGCTCCTCGCACTTCGCAGGTTTCGCTCGTGTCTAAGCCTCTTATCCGGCGAGATTTTTCCCTCGGATTTAGCTCGGTCTTCGTTATCGCGAGAACCGAATCCGACCACTTCAGAATCCCTCCGCCCCTCGCCCCTCTGCGTTTTCAATCAACGGGTAATTCCAATGATTCTTCCGCAACCTGTTTCTCGACGGGTTAATCCCTTCTGGTTCTGACTTTCGCGCAGAAAATTCCTTTAATTGTCACCCACGATGAATTAATAATATTAATCAAAAAAAGGAAGACTGAAATTAACGTCTGACAAGGAGAGGGCTAGACAAAAATCTGTTTCCATGCTTGGAATTCTTTTTCCTCCGTTTTTCTTTGTTTTTCTTTGAATGATAAACTCTAAGTAACTTGTATTTTATTACTGTAATATTACTTATCGTTTTATTAGAGTAACATGCCAACTTGAAACTGAATTTTTTGAAAACGGAGGAAAGAATGCCATGACGGCTTTTCATTTCTAGATATATACATTTCATAGGTTTTCATTCAGAAATAGAGTTTGTCTGCTTTCTCCTCGTGAGTTATATAGGGACACAATGTAATGAAAGAATTGAACTTTTAATGATTCTAATAATCGTCGGACATTCTGTGTCTAACTTCGTTGCCTGTAATTCTGAACACCGTTGTCAATTCGAAGGTAAAACATCTTCGTCTCGGGAACAACCGAACTTTATGGCTTAACGCAGTTATTACGGCTATTTAAAATGAATTAACCGAGGCAACTTGGAGCATATTAAGTATCCAATATCCAGGAAACTCCGTTTCCCCACCCAGCGAGAAAGTAATCTCAAACTTGTTGCGCTATAATTAAAGTAATATAGCTCAGGGGCCGGCCGCTCTTCGAATCCTCCGAAAATGGGCTCCCGCGTTCGATCCCAGTTGTTAAGCAACAAAATTGGTAGTCGTTTCTGGTAAAACGCTGCGGTAATTTTGATCGCCCTCGGACGCACCGAACTCTTGGCATAAAATATTGATTGCTAATGGAACAAGCTTCATATTGTGGAAGAACATCGTTTCGTCGATGTTGGAAGCTTTCCATGGAAATGGGAACAGTCGTAACGTAGTACGGATATTGGGACTCGGTAAAGGATTCGCGATTTGATTTAAGATTTACGTCATCCATACGCCGGTACGGTATAATAAAAAACATTTATATGGAACGACTGAATGAAAATGAGTTTCTGAAATGATCGACCACAATGAAATGTAGATATCCGTGCATTATACGCGGCTAATGCAATTTCATTGACCGTAAACATAAAACGAAATGAATGGCAACGGTACACGAAGTTAGAACACATCCAAAGGAAATTCATACGCAAGTCCGTACGTAACTTGCCATTTCCACCTTCCGCGAACACGGATGTGTGCGTACCTCCTTAGCGAACTTTCTAAGTAGATTATCCTGGCTCACTCTGTACGTACAACAGACGAATTCTTTATGCTGCAGGTTACACGAGCCGCAAAGGAACCAGAAACAAAGGGAAAAGTTGTGCGAATTGTTTCTTGTTTCTCCGTTGCATTCAATGGGAACTTGGAACATTTTCAACGTCTATTGATTTTCTGGCCACGGTGCTCTGCTCGACGCAACGAAAATTAAGCACGAATCTGTACTTACAATCCTGAAACTCCAATTAAATTAATCTGCAATGTTTACGATTCAATTAGCTTCCAAGATGACGTCCTCACTTAACGGAGTGTCTTCTTGGTACACAAAAGTCTGGAAAAAACAGCAGAATAGAATAATCCTGTACCATCTGAATCTGTTCCAGCATACGTCCGACGACTACCGAGTCTGCTACAATAAAGCATCAATCAGATCCCGAGCAAACAAGCCTGGAGACCTACAAACACGTTCCCTCCTACGAAAGGAAAAAACAAATTGACTAAACGAACACGCTCCCCATAGCGCCACTAAAATCCCGACCACATCTCGAAGATCTCTCCTCGTAAACACGCCATTCCCAGCAACGATCCCGATTAATCCCGCGAACCGCTCGCATTAGCCCACCCACGAGTCGGCTGGTAACACATTCGAAAACACAATACCGCGGGCAACACGTATCCCCCAGCTATGCTCCCGAATACACAGCAGACGCTACATTATGCGAGCTAATTTGCAGAACAAAAGTGTTCGGGCAACAGAAAAACAACCATTCGGCACTGAATTTAACAGAACGTTCAAATATCACGAGGTTAACGTTACAGAATCTTCAAACAAAACGTTCGTATTACAGAACGTTTACACAGCGGCCCGTTCAAATGGCAAGGCGTTCGAACAACGAAGCGTCGAATAACAAAGCGCTCAAATAACAAAGCCTTTAATAACGAACTATCGAAACAACGGAACGTATAAATAGCAAAGCGCCCAAACAACGGAGCATCGGATGACAAAGCGCTCAAACAACAAAGCGTCGAATAACGGAGCGTTCAACCAACAAACCATTCAGAGACCAACGATCCATTCGCTTAATGCGACGTTCAAACAGCAGAACCTCCGTACAACGGACCTCCCATGACACGTGTTCACGCAACGCAGATTCCGCGCCGGTCCGAGCCCCGCGCCGATCCAATAACAGCGATCCCCGCGCTAATAAAGATCGAAACAACTCCGGCTAACGATCAGCGAGGGTGCAAACGGGTGGTTAAATCAAACTCTCGTCAGAATTCGCGACGTCGGACCTCTCTCTCCCTCTGACCCTCTGACTGCCCTTCCCTCCGCACCCTCTGTCCCGCTTGCGCGTCCCCGACGGCGAAACATAGTCGGCCATCCCCACCCCTCAGCGAGAGAGCTACCGGACCGAGCCACCCTCCCCCTGAAGCACGCCGTGCTTCTGTCTCTCCTGACACGAGCGGAACCAGTCGCAGTTCGAACCACCTAGGAGACCGATCGAGGAGAACGATATATAGATAGATAGATAGAGAGAGGGAGAGAGGAAAGATTGTATACATTGGATATATCATCGACGCGTCTTCAAAGCCTGCTCGCCGACACCTGGCGCGCTAGTCGCGAGGAAGATCCGTGCCGGACCCAACCCTTGGCCATGAGCTCGGCCCCGGAAGCATGCAGGTGGGTCGCTCGATTCCTCCAGCTTCCGCGTCCCGTTTCCACGCGACCGGGTCGCGATGCCCTCGCGGGGGCGGTTTCCGTCGTGCTCGACTCACTCGCGAAAGGGTTTTCTCGGGACTTTCGTTTTCGTTGGTGCTTGTGATCGGTCTCGTTGGACTACGACGTAAGGGTGATGAGAGTGCTTTTTTTACGTTGGGGTATGTTTTCATGGTGGATACAACTTTGGAGTGTATTTGTAGTTGGATGTAGAGGTTGTCGGATTTTCTAGTTGAATTTCGTTTATAGGGTTGATACGGCTCTTTGGTTTGCTTGTGGTGTCTGTGATTGGTTCTTGCTGGGGTATGAGGGTGCTACAAGTGTTCTTTAAATAGATATATTGTTTGGATGGTGGAAGTAAGTTTGGGAAGTGAGTTTTAAGGCTTG